GAAATAATTGCTAACATGTGATTCACATTGATTTCAGAAATATGATTTTTTAAAGTATATAAAATGCATAACTTAATAACTTACTTTATAGATTAGTTTCATTTTAAAATATTTTGCTATAATATTTATAAAAAATATTTTAAGTATTAATTATTTTAACAAAATTTTAAACAATTATTTAGCACGTATTTTTAGTACTAATTAAATTTAATAAATCAAAAGTATTTATATTAAATTTACATTTTATTAGATGAATGTATTTAGATGAAATAAAGTAATGAAACATTGCAAAGTAAATCTTATGCAGACTTCAGATTCTTGAAAGGGCAGATTTAGTGTCTTTTCATTTTAAAAGTAATGCTGATGAACTAAAACAAAATGCTAAAATGACCACGTCTAAAAGGGGTCATATCATGATGTTTCAGTGATGTCGACAAATTCGCAAGATGCAACGGCAAATATTTTGCGTCTTCGCAATGTTGTATAGACGTCGTAAAAGTTACCACGACCACTTTGCAACCTCTCGGACCAGTTTGCAACGTCGTGTGCTACTTGGGTACTATTGCGTGAATTGATATCTTTCAGAAAGTGCAGAATTATAAAAGTATGTGTAACAAAAAATTAAAGATGTTAAAAAAATCAATTATGTTTTTTAAATTTTCTTAAGTAAAGTAGATAAAAAGTTAAACTTCTTTCTTGTTACTGAAAATTGTCTTTCAAGATAATTGCTTTCTTTAATTGTTATTTGTATTTTTTCAATATTGTTTCATAGATTATGAATTGTTTTTTAAGATTTTGCTTTCTTTAATTGTTATTTGTATTTTTTCAATACAGTCAAAAGTCTTTAATCCGGACTCGTCGGGACTTCGGTGATTCCGGATTATCGATTTTTCCGGATTATAGATCATCAGTTTCAATCTGGTAAGATGGCATGCAGAAATTATAAAATTAAAAATATGAAACCGTAATTTATAAAATAATAAGCAATTATGATCTATAGGGTATCAAAATTTACAAAAAAAAGCTTAATATTTATTTGTTTACTTTATTAAACATTTCTTTCAACGCGCGCATGCATAAAGCATACATTATTGCATAGCCGAAATTAGAAAATTGCAACCAGAAAACTATTTGATTTGTATTCGTGATATTTATGATGACGAGGAATTTGATTTAAATCATATCAAAGACGAAGTACATCGAGATGAAATACTACATTTAATAAGGAATTATAAGCCGAATAAAATAAAAACATCTGCCCTGAAGATAACGATAGTGTTGACAGATCAACTTCCAGTTCATTGCGCGCCACCACGTCCCCTTCTCCCCCCGCACAGAGCAGCGTGAAATTGATAAACAGATTTCAGAACGGTTAGATAAAGAGAAAGGATATGCCTTTATCCATTTTTTGGAGCAATTCCACTTTTTGTTTGATGGACATCGAAACATACTTTCGTTTTCGTAGATCCTTTGGGAGCTCCAGCATCGGAAATTCTATTTGACATAATCGAAAGTTCAAGCTTACTTTTATAAAATTGCTCTTACAGTCTGCAAAAAATAATAAGCCGGATCCAATTCGAAGATTAAGGAACAACGCAATCATCAACATTAACTGAAATAGACAATTAGATAATTTTTGCTTATACCGTCCGTTATACATTAAACGTGCAGCGAAAACGTATTCTGCGCTTGTGCACACGCAAATGCGCAGTCGTAAAGGTCTTATGCGCACGCCTATGCGCATGCGTCAAAGCGGCGCATGCGCAGAAAGTTTTTAGCTTTGAGGTCCGGATTATTAACGACTTTTGACTGTATTGTTTCATAGAGTATGAATTGTTTTTTAAGATTTTAACTGAAACCTATGGCATATACAGATATGTGATACTTTATGAAATTTGTGCATTCTTTTGAATCCCTTCATAATCGAAAAAGGGATCAAGTCAAGAGATATTTATGATTAATTTACAGAGGAAAAGGGTGAGGGAAAAAAATCCCGTTTTATTATACCAAATAACACATAAAACCAAAAATATCGCTGAATGCAAGATTAATAGAGCAATAACGTGATATGTATTAAATGCTAATAATATATTTACAGACTAGTTTCATTGCCTAAAATCAGAAAAGTGATACTACAATGCTCACAGTGATGGAAGTAAAGAATTGCCTGAGATTTGTTAGTGAAAGGTGTAGAGACATTAGGTATTTTATTTTATTTTTATTTTTATTTTATTTTTTTTTTTTTTTTTTTTTTTTTGAAGCAGGCAAGATGAAAAATTAGCAGTCGCCTTCACTGGGAATCAAACCACGGACCTCTGGATACCGTCCTAGCGTGCAGAACACTACACCACGAAGGCTCGCTAGGAAGGTGGGAGAAACACCATATATACTCCCCCTTTTAAAGGGCGACTGGGGTTTTCAAGGGACCCAATCACCAAATCGTGGGTGAGGAGAATCATCATCCAACACCCTTTTAGTTCCAGTGCCACTGTAGAGACATTAGGTTAATTGGAAAGCTGGAGAGATGAAAAATTAGCAACCACCTTTGCAGGGAATAGAACCACAGACCTCTGGATTACCGGGCCAGCGTACAGAACCACTGCACCACAAAGGCACGCTAGGAAAGCGGGAGAAATACCTTATAAAGGTATGGGAGATTAAATTATAGGACAGAGAGAATGAAGAGTCTTTATTAAAATATTATCGTTTCTGTTTTTAAGGACAGAAATGAAACCAGAAGTATTACTGCAATTATCATGCCTCTATTAATGATAAAACTGAATTTATTGATTTCTGGGGAAAATTGCTTTTTTTCTCTTCCATGGTGATCCCAACAGCTTCCTTCATTGCTTCTCATTAACTTTCTTAAAACTCATTGTTAATGAATATACAAACAATTTATGCAAAAAAAAAAAAAAAAAAAAAAGTACTTAAAAATTATGAGTGATAGTGCAGGTTGTTTACTGATAGTAGCTACAGGTGTACTGTGGCTCGTGGGTAGTTGTACTTTGAAAAAGGTAAACAAGTGTAGTGCATTCAATCGTGACTTATCACACTTGCAGCATATTCCAAACAAAAATTTTTCCATCTAAATGGGACATATTATACAGACATATTCCACAGCGGACATACCAAGGTACCGCTGTATTCTTTTATTACAGGGTTGCGATGCTACCTGGAAAAGTCAGGGAATTTAAGTGTTTTAGTCAAAATCTGGAAAAGTCATGGAATTTCATACAACGATCCTGCCAAAAAAGGTGAGTTTTGCGCCGACGTCGGAAGAGATCCCTTTTTTTGGCGAATTGTGTATCACGTGAGTGTCATTCGGGCAGCTGGCATAGAGCCAATTTTTGCAGCTCCAATTTGATTGTCTTTTTAGAAAGGCAAAGCAAGTTTCCCGCAGCTTTTGGTTTCCAGTAGCCTAGAGAATCGCATGTGCAAGTGCATGTTGAACTAAAGAGAGTACTTTGTTCTGGTATAAAACAAAATGGGTTTAATCTTAGTGTACAGTACCATGAAGGTTAAATTAGAATCAAAGAATATATATTATAAAGAAGGAAAACCTCCTCTGCAACAGGACGTGGAACTCGTTCCAATCATAGCGGGGAAACAGCTGTGCATGCGCGATTATCTGCCGCCAAAGCTCGAAAGCCGGTGTCAAATTTCGAAGGTCACATCATCAAGGAGTTCATAAAATGAATATTCGTTTAAAAATGTCTTTAAAGGAAAATAACTTTAAAGGAAAAGAATATATTTTTCTGGCGCAAGTAAATTAATTAATAGATTAGTTATTTTGAAGGGGGAATCTACGAAAATCCGTTTTTTAAAATTATTGCGAAAAATCCAAGAAAAAACGTTATTTGATAAAACATTTCTTCTTGGATTTTTCGCAATAATTTAAAAACGGATTTTCATAGTTTTCTTTTTGGTCAAAGAATGTTTCTTCTTACACGTGTTTCTCAATTTTCTGTACACATCGCGGAGAGGGAAATTCTGGCCGTTCCGTCGTCAAATCCCTTGGCAAATTTTCCCTCTGCTTTTTACATAGACGTTCTTTGGTAAGAATAATCTCCATGTACGGTACAGCAGGATTTGGCGACATGATGATGAGCAGTAAACGGGTCATTTTGTTCTTGGCGACAATTTTCAAAATCATGCGAAGGCCGTATCGTATACTAGGATTTTACCGCAAAATCTTTTTTTTTCGTTTCTTTTCTTTTCTTTTTAATAAATACCTTGTCATTTTGCAGTAAAATAAAAAAATAGTAATCAATCATCTAGGATAACCATGTAATATAACTATATTCGCTAAAATATCGTTGATTATTCTAATTAAATTTGTAAGTAATTATCTTTATTTTTATGTTATTCATATCATTTAATGTTGCTTCTTCCCTCTAAATTTATTTATCATTAGTAAATAATATTTCCAAATTTCAGGAAATTTTTCTCTGGCATAATTCTGAAATTAATTCTAGCAGTATGATGACATCACGAAATTTAATGCACATATTTTTTTCCTTATGTATGCTACGAAATAAATATAAAATACCTCAATTTAGTAAAAAAATATCATTAAATAGATTTCTTTCTTTCGTTTAGCTGCAGAATGTCTGCAAAAAAAGCCTTATTTTATTCCAGATTGGGCAAATTCTAATCTCAATCTTCAGTGGAGAAAACAACTCCTATTATAATTATATTTGTGTTTTCAAGTGTTAAGGTGCCTTTTAAGAATACACCTCGCGCAAATTAAATTTACCTAAAATCTAACCTAACTTTTAGCATTGCGTTGTGATTTATAAGAACCGGATTAGCCTCGTGTTGAACTGGGGATGATCATGAGTAATAATTAAATAAAACGTACAGTTGGTTATCCAATGTATATATCTTAAATTTTATTAAGTTTTTTTAAGTGGAAAAGTAAACAAAATTATCAAACAAAGTGAATTTGCTACACAGTACAAGTAATACCATAGTTAATTTACCTCTTAGCACAGCCAACGTACATTACGCGGATAGACTGGAATTTTCTCGAAACATACCTGGAAAACCTGGAAAAGTCAGGGAATTTCATTCTCCTGTTTGAGTGGCAACCCTGTTATTATCATATTGCACATAATTCTATGCATTTTAACTAGTTATTTATTCTGTTGAAAAGTTAGAAATTTATTTATTTATTCATTTGGGTTATGTATATGCTGTTCTTGCTTTATTATTAATTGAGGTTTTATACAATATTTAAAATTTTTTAGATCTCAGGATGAGGTCTTTAACATTTTTTTGAAGGTTTTCCTGTACAAATTAATAGTAACTTTATTTGATTTGCACCATTTCAATTTATGAAAGACTTTCCAGGAATGTCAACTTCCAGAAAGTAATAGAGGCATATTCAAATTTACATTCCTTAAAAATGTGAATTTTTAAGAAAAATTTCTAGTTATTCAGACTTGCTGCATGTTTTTAGCTAAATAATTTGTATTTTATGTGTGCATGGTTTGAAACCAGCTGTTTAAGAAAATTTACTTGCTATGAAATCTATATTTAGAAATGAATGTGATGATAATATAAAAGCAGTATTGTAAGTTCAATTTTTTTTTCAGTGTAATGAAATAAATCACAAAAAGGATTTATTTCATTTGATTGTAATGAATCACAAAATGTAATCGTAGATTATTTCTGTTTATTAATATGTAATCACATTTGCTCATTATGTTTGCATTTATGTATACTTATTTCATATCTATATTTTTCATTTTCGTATTTATAATAATAATAAAAAAATTTAAGAATTTTTCTATTTAGTCATTAAAAATGTAATGTAATTGAAACTGAAGATTAAATATCAAATATTATAACTAAAGAATATAAGTAACAGTAAAAAAGAACATTATAATGCAGTATATAGGTGTCTTTTAACTGAGGAATATATTGATAGTTTCATTTTGAATTTATTATAATGATAATATGCTTAATGTTTATAACAACTTGTAATTATTAATAATATGATTATTTTGCTGTGAAATATTTAAGAACAGTTTTAAATGGAAGCATTGTGAATTAGCAAATGTATAATAAAACTAAATCTCTCACAAAAGTGTGATGTTTTATACGTAATAAAAATGTAACTCTATAATGGATAAAAAATTAGAAACAGTAATAGAGAAATTATACCTAAAAGATAATCTTGATGTGGAAAATGAATATACAAATGTGAAATTTCCATAGTGTTTCAAATATGTTATTTGGATAATTTCACATGATGAAGAATTTTCGAAAAAGCTGAAAGAAAATTTCACGCGATTGATGTTATCAGATAGTGTAAAAAGCTCCTTGCTGTGCTGCTAAGTTATATGGGAAAGGATGGGCATAGGTGTATGGATCTTTTGGACTGTATTTTCAGACCATACTTGAATGCATTTTAGATGTATATTAAGAGACTGGGTTAAGTCAGTGTGCAGCGATGTACGTAGATTTTGGCAAAACTTCAGTTTCCTGAAACTGAAGGGAGTAGAAAAATATTTTTTGATAATTTAAAATTTGATTTATTGGGAAATCTAACATTAATTTTTAATTCTACATTTCAGTATTCAGTTTGATTTGTTGAAAATTTTCATTTGACAGAACTGAAGCAATCAGTGTTCTACTGTAATGTAATAGAAAATGTAATTGGCTCACTATAACAGGTTAACTTTTAAATAGAGTACATTCTAATACAAGAATGGTAATATTCTACTAACTGTTCTTAGACATGTATGGTTTTCCTTCCAAGCAATGTGTCTCAGTACTGGAAGATTGTTTTTACATCCATAATTCAAAGTAAAAACCATATGCAATAAAAATTAGAAAAGTTTGAAATGTGAACTAATATGCTCTTCACATTCAGAAAGCTGATTCAGTCTTTTCTGAGTGTAAATAATATTCTATTTAAAAGAAAATAGTACTGTATACTGTCAAGAAAAGGTATATGAAATGGGAAGATTCACATTGCTTGAGTAGAAGGACATCGGGATAAGAGTTCATGCCAAGTTGCAGTTACTAAAAGTACAGAGCTTCATTACTGATGAACAGTAAAGCTCACTGTTCATCAGTAATCAATTGCTTATGATTGAAGCAGCATGAGTAAGTGTTTTATGGCACTGTAGGTAAAGAAATTCTTTTTAAAGGGGACAGTACAATATATTGGTTTACAGCAACAATATAGACATTTCTGTAAATTAATTTTCATAGATTTGACGATCAGGCTTCTCTTTCCTTAGCACTATCAAACCTTTGTGAAACACATCAAGGAGATATAGCTGTATAATTCTTAGTGTATCCATTCTCCATCTATATTCTTCCAAATAAATTTGTAAAAAGGCTTATTAAAGTTTATGTATGGTTATCTATTCATATGAAAGTATTTATTTCCATTTAAATGCAGTTAGACATATTACATTTTTATTTATCTGAAAGTTTTTCTCATTAAAAAAAGTGTTTATTTTTAGATGTTAGACACTAATTGAGCATTTTTCATTTTCTTAATGAATTTTAGTCTAATTCCTGTCAAAAATGAATGTCTGCATACATGAAAATAATTATATTACATAAAATAAACATGAAGAAATTGAAGATCTTTGGCAGCCATTTAAATAATGAAAGTGTGTGTATCATGGTATTAATGATTTTCATGAAAATAATTTTTCCAAATAGTTTGAAGAAATTATGTCATCATCATCCTTAATATTATTTAAATCATTGCTATTCCATAGGAGAAAGGTGGGAAATGCATTAAGCAGGTACTCACCTTTAAAAATGTAAAGCATTTTAATTTAGATCTCTTATATATGGAACCAGAAGAAGGGATATTAATTTTGAAGTAATTTTTCCTAAGTATATGCTTATTTCATGTTGTAAATTTGCATATTATTACTCTTAATGTATGAATAATACATCAAAAATATTTTTTAGATGCATTGGGCAAGATTCAAAGAACATTTTATGAAAATAATGTGACTTTACACAAGGCAGTTTCTCTGAAGACATGCCCATATTGCTCCTATTCAACTCGTTTTAACTATGATTTAGTCAAGCATATAAGAGTTCACACCGGAGAACGCCCTTTCATGTGCAAGGTGTGTCGTAAGAAGTTTCGACAACAGTCTCATGTGCAAACACATATGCTTACCCACTTTTGATTTTTATGTGCAAGGTTTGATGAATAAAAGCTTTTTTATTTATTTATTTATTATTATTATTATTATTTTAATTTTTCTCTGTAATTAGATTATCTTTGTCAGTCAGTTTCTTTGTTTCTTTGTATTGTTGTTGATTAGGAGAAAAAATAAACAATCAAAAATTTCAGTGTTCATAGTTTTGTATTTCTTACTTTAATATAAAATGTGATTTATTCATTTTCCTTATGATAATTCCTTTCCAAAGGGGTTTGATAATTGTAAGTAAAATGTTTCTAAGAAGCTTATGCTATGTTTTTCAATTAAGCTTCTGTTAAATTAAAAAAATAGTGTGACTGAATATATTGTATTAATTAAGCAATTTTTTTATAACAGAAACTTTCACAAATTTTGTTCATGTGTTTATTGAGAAATTATACTTGTTGCAGTAATTTTTAATTGATGTGAAGTTTTTTCCTTTTTTCACATTTTCTCAGATTTTTTTTTTCATGCTAATACTTTACTTAGTAGTGCATACATTGATTATATCTAATACTCAAGTATCTTTTTATCAGTTTTTTAATATTGCATTTGTGAAAATTTATTGGCCATTCTCAAGATTCGTCAGTGGCTGGGTGGTTAAGGCCACTAAGGGCTGGAAGATCACCCCAGGTTCGATCCCTGGCAAACAGGCTGGCTGCATAGTTGGTTTGCATGGTTTAAGCCATGTGTAATGTGGAAGGCATACCTTCCCTTAGGTAGATAACTCTCATGTGATTTGCCCTGTTCAGTTAACCTAACCTGGCTATTCTTCAAAGAATTCTGTTAAGCAGTTTTGCATTTCCTGAGGAATGGGAAAATTTTCATGTTTAAATTATTCTGTAATATCCCAAACAGATGGCAGTTTTGATTGGTAGAATAGCCAGTGTGAGTCATTCTGCCAAATTTGTTAGTTAGCAAAAATTTCTCAGCAAAAATTTTTTTAGTTCTTGTGTCATTTGGTTAGTGTTATTCTAGTGCAAGACTGTTTGATGATACAAACTATTCATACTATACTAACTTAGGCTATTTGATTTGAGACTAAATAATTTATGACTGAATTCACCAGTGTTTGATCTTTTCCCTTGTATACTTTTTCATTTGCATGTAATTTTTTTTTAAATTGTGCAATATCATTATTATTATGACCTTGAGTGATAAAACAGTTGAATAAATGTTAATTTATTGAGTACAAGTTAAAGCCAAGAAGTGGCATGTCTGTTATATGTGTTGAAGTTGTATTACTAAATACAAACAGTTAGTTGTTATTTCCTTAATTGTTAGAAACTACATGAAAGAGATTAAAGAAAAATTTTTGTTAAAGTGTTTTTTATGTGGTTTGTTCAGAATTTTTTTTTAAAGTTATATATATATTTTTATGTTCTGAGGTAAAATTTCTGATAGGTAATGAATAGTCTGAATATAATATAAATTTCTTATTAAATAGGAAGGCCTCATATCAAGTATGCAATGATATCAAGGATCTTCATATTATGCTGCTCCCTGAAGTATCCAGGCTTATAAAAACATTGTTTCTTTAGCTTGCTGTTCTGACAGCAAGCTAAATAAGCTATGAATGCCATTTTTATTTCTATGCAAATACCAAAACTAGTTGTGGTTGTCTTTTAGGTGAGCAGGCAAACTGTCTTGCATTGGAAGATTTAATGACTAGTAAATAATTAGAAGACTGAAAGACTACTTATACTACATTAGCAATAAAAGGAAAAAAAAAGTTTATGTATTTTATCATAATATAACATATGACTGATATTGCAGTTATTTTATTTCCAATATGAACTGCTGTCAGATCCATGTCCAAAAAACTCCTGTATGAAATGAAGGCTGTTTACATACTTGTGAATGCATTTTGTTACAAAATTGAAAAAATATTTAGTAGGGATGGAAAAAATTAATATACTTTTTTTTGCTTCTATCACCACTTCATTGATATAACCAGTGGATTAAGATTTAAAAATTCTGGGTATATGGTTATATGCTCAAATAATAGATGTGCTTTATGATGTATATATAAAATGAAACAAAAATATTTTTATTAAAAGTAACAAATGGCAAAATAAAGCAATAAAAGAACACACCACAGTTTCTTATGTGGTTGCCAAAAAATTTATAAGAATTTTACAATTACCAAATATTTGTATTTAATGTTTCTGAAAATAGGTAAAGATAAGACAATACACACAAAGAATAAACGAAAATATTTTGACGCATTTTTTAATAATAGAAACTTTTATTTTAAAATTTAATTTAAAAACTAAAGTTAATGACCTAAAACTGCAATAGTATATTTCAGTACAAGTGAAGAAACTGATAGTTTTTAGGATATATATTAGATTTATTTATAGTATTGTTCCAATATAGGTATTTGGACTACAAAAATCTGACTTTTTATGAAATGACATACAACTTTTGTTCCATATTTCGATTCTATGACTCAAGTTTTGCCAAACTGCCAAGTTTGGCAAGTAAAAATGGCATGAGTACTTTTTGAAGCATTAGCTCTCAAGATTATAGCTCCTCAATGTTAATTGAATTTTATGGCTGAGGAATGGTTACATGTATATACAGATGGCTCTTTGACCAATAGGATCCAGGGGGCTGGAGCTGGAGTTTTTTTGCAAGCTTTTCAGTTTCTACATACCTGTAGGGGCTTACTCCACTAACTTTGATGGAGAAGTGAAAGCCATTCATGTAGCTCTCCTAGCAATTGAGACAATCATTGAGACAGAGCTCATTCAGGAGGGCTGTTGTACTGTCTGATTCGACTTCAATACAGGCCATTTCCTCTTGCCAAAAATGTAAGAACATATGCGTTCAACAGTGTCAGGAAGTCATAAAAAAAACTTTCCCACAAGATATCTTTTCAATGGGTACCTTCACACTGCAGTATTTATGGGAATGAGATGGCTGATATGCTTGCGAAAAAAGGGGCTACGGTTCTCAAAAAGCCAGAAATGAGTGCAAGCCTCCATTTTATTAAGCTTCGGACATCGCTGACATATCAAAAGACTTTTAGAGATTTTGCCACTCGGACTTGTGAGGGCAAGCCTTGGAATGTTCTCTCAACAAACCCAGCTTTTGTTCCTGAGCACCCACGAACAGTTGCGGTTGCATCTTTTAGACTATTGACGGGACATGACTGTTTACAGAATGATTTATTTCACATTGGACTAACTGATTTGCTGTTGTGTAATAGTGGACGGCGGAACATTTGGATGAGTGTGAAGCACTGACAAATTTTTCTTGTAGATTTCAGTGCTATTGGCAACCAATGTAACTGGCATTTGACAAATAAATAAAATAAATAATGTTAATTGAATTTAGTATATATTTATTAATCTCCCTTTTTTATTAAACATATTTTATTTTTCCGTTCACATTTCAAAATTTAGGTTCATTTCTAGTAAAATTCGCCTATTTTTTATGATTTATTTTTAAGTAATTTTATAAATTTTTCGAAAAATATTTTGAACTATAATTTACAAACTTTATACCATAATCTTAAAGTAGACGTATTTCTAAGTGTACCTACAAAAAATAGTTTTTTTATCAAAAAATTTCGAAAGATATACGTGAATACGTATTGGCACATTTAGAAATTTGACAAATATGTTATAAGCGATAATAATGCCAAATGTGGTTTGCACCTTTTGTTAAAATGATTTAAAAGTATGAACAATGACTTTTTTCCGCTCGTGTACAATGATTAAAAAGGAAAATAGATTGCTATAAATTAAGAAGTTTGGGAAGTGAATTATTCTTGGCGCAAACTGAAAAAAAAGTGCAAAGATAAATTTTTGAATTCCGCACCAAATTTTACGAAGTTTAATATTTAGGCACAATTTGAGTCGTAGAATCAAAATATGAAAAACAAATTGGCGTATCATTTCAGAAAATATCCGATCTTGTGTCAGAATACATGTGTTAGAGCATTGTTATGTATAAATCTAATACATATTAGCACTTTTGAGACATGAAAAACGCAATATGAATTTCGTCAAATCGGCCCAGTAGACTGGGAGATATGGAACTGTCCCCCCTTTTTTTAATGCAATGCACAGTAATATGTACTGAAAATAAGAAATTTCTTAATAAATAATTATATGATAAAAATGGAAAAAAAATCTGAAAGGTTTCAAATTTTAAATAAAGTACAAATGTGCGTTTTTTTAAAAATCTTGTGTGTTACTTTTATTTATTAAATATCTTGTTCTTTGCACATAAACCATAGAATTCAGTTCAACAGCAATGTCGCAAAATAATTTTAAAATCAGCGTATCTTTAGAATTTCCGATGCACAGTTCCGTGTGCTGGAGATAAAAAGGTTTTTTTTCCCCAAGTAGAGTGTTGCCATTGCACGCTTTTAAATCGTTGAGTTTGTTAATAAAAAATTCGTTAAAGTTTTACAAAATATGAAATCGATAATGAAACAAGTTCCAAATTTAAAATTTGGGCTTTCAGATGCCCATAATGCAGTAGGATTACGTCATTAAAAATCAGATGGCTATGAGTACCATTGTTTTATTACAATGCAGGAAACATACATTTATGCAGATTCTTCAAAAATAATACAGGGCGATAGCATTTGGTGGCAACGATTTGAAAAGTGATACGCCATTTATAGGGTTCCGATGCAAAATCGCAAAACAAAAACAATAGTCTTTCACGGATAAAGCCCCTTTGGACTAATAAATGTTTGTTATAGTTATTTAATTAAATAATATTATAATAAATAATTTATTATTTCTGCTTGATTTTTTAGACTAAAATATGTATGCATTCTTATACATGGTTTAAGTGGACGGGGAATACCAAATATATTTAAAAAAAAAAAAGATTTTTGTGTAAAAGATCACAATAATGGCAAATGTCATATTAAATCAAGTACGATCAGTGATACAAGTGATCTCCTGTAATGAGTAAATACCTGTTGACGTGTTTTCCAATCAAAAATTATAGTTCCATTATTTTTAGAAATGTT